ACACACACACACACACACACACACATTTCATTTTTTGATTTTATGACCTTTGTAATCTTATATGATTACATTAACTCAACATGTTACATAAATTATAAAAGTATAGTCTTGTATGTACGTGTTGTAAATGTGAAAAAACGTATCAATACCGTTATACATATTATCATACATTAGCATATTGGCCACGCCCCCACTCAATTCATATGGTAGAAAATAGCAAAAGATGTGCTCTCTCTCTAAAATAAAGCATGACAAACAGCGGCCCGTGGAGTCTCAGAAGTATTAATAGAAAACAGTCATCTGGTGTCGGTGATATGAAATTAATTAGTTGCTGTGAGGAGGATACTGATTCATAATAACTGCATCAAGCCTGAAGTGCAGCATGTGGAGTGTCAGTTATCCGTGTCTCCTCCCTCTCGGTATTTAAGCATCTGCTCCATCCATGAGACTCAAGTTTTCTGAGTCAGCACAGAGTTTCTCCAGCCAAATCAATCAAAGCACAGGAGCTTTAAAAACCGCGTTTTCAACAGTCTTACACACTGTGGAATTAATAATATGAAATGAACAGGATACATCGGTATCCTCTACATAGCGTGTCTTTTAAAGTAAGGAGTGAACAAGTTTCTTCTCTTTAAAAGTAGCTTGTCCTCAGAACTTTGTAAGTGAACGACTCTCTCCTCCACAGCTGCGCGTCTCTATCCGAGCTGAGGAACATCATCTCAACATTATTCACTGGGACTGTAGAGGATATGACTGCGATCATGAAATCCCTGCTGCTCGTCTGTGTGTTTGTGCTGCCTCTGCAAACACTAACGCTGCCGCTGCGCAACAGGTGAGAGACCTCGGACGCGATCGCATCTATAGATGCTGTATGTAGCTATACATTATAAAAACACTATGATCGATATTCTCAGTATTTAATATTACGACCACTAAGGCTTGGAAACGTTTATGTAGAGCTTGTGCGCATTATTCGTATGCAAAAAAGTCTGGTAACAAAATATCTTAATTTTTAACATTAGTTAATGCATTACCTAAAAGCAATGTGAAGCTATGTATTTACATCATTTATTAATCTTTGATAATGTTAGTTAATAAACAACAGTTGTTCATGGTAGTTTACAGTGCATTAACTAATTTAACAGATACAGCTTTTACTAATGCATTTTTAAAATCAAATGTTGTAATTAACATTTAGAATTAATAATTGTAGATTTATGGTTCAACGTTAGTTCTCGTTAACTAATGCAAACAAATTAAACCTTACTGTAAAGTGTGTTACCATTAAGCTACTCTTACATAAACAGTCACAATGCAGACATCACATAGATAGCGAAGTTAAAGTTTAAGTATGCATGTTCATGGCAAGCCATTTTAACATTCATTACTAGTATCTATTGTTAGTATTGACCATATTTGTTAGTGATACTTATTTTGAATTGCTTGTAATAATCTAATAGTGAATTTTCATTATTTTTTTGTCAAGTAGTTCAGTAGTTTTTATAGCAATGGTATTTAGTATAATATGAAATATTACTAGGTGGTGTTTCCAATCACTTGTTTCCAATTAGATGGCTGAGGAAAATGGCCTAATTATGTTGAATTAACCCTACAATACTACTTTTCTACAAATAAATATTGCCAAACTTGAATGATACTAGATGCTATTGATATAGTGACTAGTAGCAAAGGAAGGTAGGTAATAATACTAGTCACAATTAAAGTATTAGTATCTAAAGTATGGGTACTAGTGAAATTGAAAACAATACTAGTCACTATTGGGTTACTTTACTAGTATAACTGAAGATTGATAAAACTAGTAACAACAATACATAGTAGTTAGTTGCAGGATATATGTTCAAATGGCTTGCCACACGTGTGTGTGTGTGTGTGTGTGTGTGTGTGTGTGTGTGTGTGCAAGCATATGGGTGTGACCTGTAGTTCTCTGTGAGATAGTATGTGTCACTTGACTGTCTGCATTTGGCACAGAGCACGCAAGAGAGACGTGCCACCTGTAACGTAGTTTCTGACTTGCAAGACGCAACATTGAATCATGCCTACAACACAATCCACATACCTGCATGAAATTGCATTAAATATAAAGTATTGAATTAAGTGGCATTCATTTTATATGAGCACACTTTAAGCAAAACGTTTCACAAAATGCAAGTTTTAAATGGTGAAACAATAGATATAATAACAGAAATGTTGCCAAATGGACACACAAGTACTTAGACACTGGCTTTTGGTTGAGGAACTGACTTCATATATAAAGCACTTACAGCAGCCACTTAAAATTAGTTGCTAAAATGTGCTGAAAAAAGCGCTATTATATTTGTTAATATAAGTCATTTAAAATTTGACTGGTATCACTTAGTGTGCAAATACCTTTTTGAGGGTCACTTCAGCTGTTGGTTTGGGTGTTGTAATGATGTCACTTCTGATCTCAAAGCCTGATTGAACACCATCTCAGTGTCGCCCCCTGCTGGTGGGCAGAGGCTCGTTCCTCCACTGAACAATGAGTCTGTGGCCTTCAAAAGTGAAACAAGCTTACAGAATAAATCTGAACACGCAGTGTGTGCCTAATGTGAGAAAAGGTCAAACAGATGGTGAGAGGTCACAAACACCAAGTGATTTAGGACTTTAATGTTCAACTGGAAATTAAATCCTCTTTTGCACACACACTCGCGCAAAGGCACAATGAATTTATGTAAGGTGGATTTAAGCAGTTTCCCCCCCAAATTAGCCCCTCTAGCACTGTTTTTAAAAATGTGCCTCGCAGAGAGTGGATTGCAACATCATTCTTAACAGTTTGTGTGATTAAGATTGGTATTTGTGCATGCTAACATCTCTCTCAGGCCCCATGCAGGGCTCTAATGTGGGAACGCTTCTCAACAATCTCTTTCTCTCTCACAAAACCTGAAACTTCCAGACTTCCTCCTAGTCTTCAGACTAAAACATCACAATACGTCACCTATTTGTCCTCTACAATCCAAGACTCTTCACCCTGTGTGCTGTCTTCCATATGTGTGTGTGCAATCTAGCACCTGAGACTGAAGTGTATGAATGGAGCAGTGAAACAGTAGGACTTTAGCTTGGGGCAAAGGCTTAGAAGGGCTTATGCTGGGCCGGAGTGATTGAGTAACTGTGCCTGGCTGCTGCTCTCCGGCCTGATTTCACTTCAGTGTACATTTATGATGCACAGGGGCGTTGCTTATCTAATCATGTGTCCAACTGCAACAAAGGGTGTCAAACTAATTAAGACAAGAAGCCGGATTTCATCACGATAATGCAAAGGAAACCAATTACAAAGTGCATGTAAAAAAAAAGAAAAGAAAATGATAGAACTTGAAACAAGATCAAAGGAAAGAGTTCACTGATAAAATAACTCCTGCATTTGAATTAAATTTGAACTGTGCCACCAAACAGGATGCTGAATTGGATTTTTTAATTTGAATTTAAGAATGCAGAACTGAAAAGAACTGAAATATAAAAAATATATACAGTATATAACAAATTTTTAAATGTTTAGAAACATTTTTGAAAAAATGTTTAAAAGGTCTTCAAGTTGAAGGGTTTATAGAAGACAGAACAGAATGATAGAACAAAGCGATCAATAAAATGACAGAACAATGGATAGAACAGTAGATAGATAAAACGGCAAACAGTAGAAAGACAGAACGACAGCTAGAATGACAGATGGACAGAACGATGGCTAGAACGACTGTTCGAATGACCAATAGATACAGTAGATAGATAGACAGCTAAACATACAGAACGATAGATAAATAGAACCACCAATCGGCTGATAAAATCTCAGCTAGAATTACAGATAGATAGAATGACAGACAGACAGGCCCATTTCTGAGCCACAAAAATAATCAAGCTAAACACAGTGTAAAAGCTCTTAATGACGTGGGTGTGTGTGTGTGGTTCAGGAAAGGCTTGACAGCATTTAGGCTGATGGTGACCTTCACAAGACGGAAAGCAGTGTGTGTTTCGTTTGTAAGCAGTGTGTGTAGCGCATGTTAAATGAGGAGTGTGTTTTAGAAACTCCAATGATTCCGAGCTTGTTCAGTCTTTCTGACTCTGGCCCACATTTAATGAGATGTACAAGCAAGTGGGAGACCAGCAAACACACAGACACACACACACACACACACATACAGAGACCTGTACTGACCCTGAGCCCCGGCGGTCCCACATCTCCGGTTCTGCTATAGACTCATTAGAACTGCTTCAACACACATAATGCCAGCTATTCAGGAGCTGCCCGCAGTGGTGCTCGTGCAGCTGAAGTGAGTTTAAATCTGACTGGCATGTAATAAATTGTCTACTTCAGTCACATTTCAATTATGCATAGTATAACCCAAGTTTAGCAGATACTAGAACTACACCATTTGGCACCTAAAAGACTTAAGCAACATATAAATTGCTACTATTTCATCATAGTATTGCAGTACCAATTTTGAATTCTCTTCTATTGAAGTCTCTTATGCCCCTCGAGCCTGCATTTATTTAATCAAACTAGAGTAAAAACAGTGAAATATTATAATTGAAAAGAACTGTTTTCTATTTTCATATATTTTCAAATGTAATTTATTTCAGTGATGAAAAGCTGAATTTTCAGCATCATTACTCCAGTCGTCAATGTCACATGATCCTTCGTGTAATTTATTTCAGTGATGAAAAGCTGAATTTTCAGCATCATTACTCCAGTCGTCAATGTCACATGATACTTCAGTTCAAAAGAACAGCATTTATTTTAAATAGAAAAGTTTATAGACATTATAAATGCATTTACGGTCTCTTTTGATTAATGCATCTTTGCTGCATACAACTATAAAAGTACTAATTTCTTTCAAAACAAATTTAAAGTGTACAGAAATGTAACGGGTATAGTATCATAGTCTTCAAATCAAGTGCTAAACAAAGGTTTACAGTGGGCCCATGTTATAACCACACCATTAAATGCTCCGCATGACCGCTGAGAGACAGTGATCGGAAGTGTTTTTGAAACTTTGTGTAGACAGTGAAAGTGATTTTGTGTATGTGTGTGTTATACTACAGCCAGTCCAGACTAATCCTGTTCAGAAACATTCTGATTCAGATTAGATGTAAAGTATTACTCTATATATCCCACACTAATGCTCAACATAAACACAGCCTATGAAAATTACACTTAAATACATACAGATACTCAAGTATCATGCTTAGTAACATTTGTTATTAATGTTATTATATTCACAAACATAAATAAATATATTTGTATATAAAATACAAATAAATGTAACAAATTAAAATGCTGTACAAACAGCTAACAATTCAGGAAAACTGCAGTACAAACATTTCCTAAAAAGAAAATCTCACATAATCTCCCTCACCTGCAGGTTTGGCAGGGATGTAGATCTCTGCCAGGTGCATGATGGGTATTAATGCCAGTTGATTTATGAGCTAGAAAACACAAAGCACAAGTCAAAGGTGTTTAAGCAGTCTGACATGCGAGTGTCTGGCTCAACCAGAGCCACGTGATATGCTGATTTGCTGCTCAAGAAACATTTCTTATTACCAATGTTAAAAAATGTGCTGCTTAATATTTTTGTGGAAACCATGATACATTTGTTTTTCAGGGTTCTTTGGAGAACATAAAGTTCAAAAGAACAGCATTTATTTTAAATAGAAAAGTTTATAGACATTATAAATGCATTTACGGTCTCTTTTGATTAATGCATCTTTGCTGCATACAACTATAAAAGTACTCATTTCTTTCAAAACAAATTTAAAGTGTACAGAAATGTAACGGGTATAGTATCATAGTCTTCAAATCAAGTGCTAAACAAAGGTTTACAGTGGGCCCATGTTATAACCACACCATTAAATGCTCCGCATGACCGCTGAGAGACAGTGATCGGAAGTGTTTTTGAAACTTTGTGTAGACAGTGAAAGTGATTTTGTGTATGTGTGTGTTATACTACAGCCAGTCCAGACTAATCCTGTTCAGAAACATTCTGATTCAGATTAGATGTAAAGTATTACTCTATATATCCCACACTAATGCTCAACATAAACACAGCCTATGAAAATTACACTTAAATACATACAGATACTCAAGTATCATGCTTAGTAACATTTGTTATTAATGTTATTATATTCACAAACATAAATAAATATATTTGTATATAAAATACAAATAAATGTAACAAATTAAAATGCTGTACAAACAGCTAACAATTCAGGAAAACTGCAGTACAAACATTTCCTAAAAAGAAAATCTCACATAATCTCCCTCACCTGCAGGTTTGGCAGGGATGTAGATCTCTGCCAGGTGCATGATGGGTATTAATGCCAGTTGATTTATGAGCTAGAAAACACAAAGCACAAGTCAAAGGTGTTTAAGCAGTCTGACATGCGAGTGTCTGGCTCAACCAGAGCCACGGAATTACCCGACTGGCTGAATAATGGCAGATGTTTGGAATTTATCTGAAAAATTATATTATTTAGGCAATTAATGTGCTGCTGCAAGATTTGCTTTGAAACTATTTTAACTCAGAAATCAGAAAAAAACATCAAATTAAATGTGAAATTTTAAAGCAAAAAAACTTAAATAGTATTTTCTTGTAAATAAAATACTCATTTATAACTTCTGAAAAATAATTTTATACAGTATAGTGACACAGCAACTACAAACTTCACCTTAAATAACTGATTTACATATAAAATAATTAAATTAATAGCAAATATAGTGCCAAACAGTCCCTCCAACACAGTGCAGAGACCTCAGTCTAACAATTTTACATCTCCTCATTTTTACCGATATTCTAACAAAAAACGAATGCTCTGAATGTCTCCTGAGGAGCCAGACTGAAGACAGGGAAGCACGTGAAGGAGTGTGTGTCCTAGAGTGAGGGAATATTAGTGCATGCCACAAATAACTCGGACTACAGCCAGAGACATGCTCGATTAATAACAGGCTTCAGGTACTAAAATGGTCCTAATGCTGCCAAGCCTCTAATTTAATACTTAAACTACGTCAGCTTCTATGTGAATGTCTGAATGATGTATTTAAATAGATCTGGACACTGCATGCATGCACTAGCTTCACTGGTGTTCAACCAAACCATTTCTCTTTCTCTCACCAGATCGAGTTTTCCCAGCAAACCCGGGAAGCTTCCAGAAACACAGGGTGGTAATGCCATGGAAACCATCACCGTTCCTTCAATAGCTTTGAGTGCCGGGGCAAGAGAGCGCCGTGCGGTCTGGAGGGCCCTCTTGCATAAAGGACCCCCGGTGAAACAGACCAACACACTGGCCAATCAAAACAGGGAACATTTCCGGGAACGTCGGCATGTCCTCAGAGGGTCACGAGGTCACCCGCAGGGTCAGCTGATGCGTGTGGGATGCGTCCTCGGCACATGCCAGGTACAAAACCTCAGCCACCGCCTCTATCAGCTGAACGGCCAAAGTGGACGGCAAGACGCGCCAATCAATCCCAGAAGTCCACATAGTTATGGATAAGACCACACAGTAAAAATCTATCCAAAAATGTGACTACAGAAGACCACCGACACCAGCGGGGCAACCAATCAACAACTGGCGTGATCAATTTACAGGCGTCCTGTCATGAGAAATCAAATTCTCTCGATCTTTTGAAATAAAAGAGTCCTTCAATGTGCTTATGCAACTTTAAGAACTCTAAACTTCTTTCCCTAAACAAGTGTCTATTGAAACAAAAACAACTCGTTATGAACTTCTGCAACTTTGACGTCATTTAACATTAACATACGGTATGATCGCCAACATTAACTTGCAAGCTTCTATTTAAATGTTCAGAAACTTGGCCTGGCCTTTCATACGGAGTAGTAAGGAAGACGTTAGATATTACTCCTAAACACCAGAGGAAATAACGAGAAGTGTAAAAAATGAGGGAAAGGTTGAGAAACCTGACTGTGTGTAGCACCTACAGCTCTGCAGATACGAGTTTTCATTTCAGCATGGATTGTTTAATGAATCTCTTTAATGTCTTAAAGTAATGCAACTTTGGAGCCAATAGAAAACACTACTGAATAAACAACAGCTTAGTGGATCTCAGGGAAGAGAATATAATTGTAAACATTTTATGTCCCCCTTTAACAATCAATTGTCCTTTTCTAAAGGTCAAATTCAGAATATTTCCCACTTCTGATACTTCATGCCCTTCTGTAATGAAGTGACTTGAACCTTCATTATCTTTACAGTAATCTCACACTGTCTCTCGCTCTCTAAGCCAGGACAAATCGCCCTCGACTGAGCCACCTAAAGCCGAACAGAGCTTCAATGTGAACATCTTAAGAGTAAACATCCTGTATTTGGACACTTAAGCTGTACTTATTTATGAATCTAACTGCATTAGAAAAAATATCAAACCAAGTGGTTATTTAAAAGAAAGATAGCACTAAAGGTTTGTTAGGTTTCAAATGATAAAAAAAACTTTGAATTGAAAACAAAATGTATTTGGAATCTAATTCAATGATTATTGGTCATGTCACGAAGTTAATCCTGATACAGTACGTTTCATCTAAAAGCCCCATATTTGTGGAAATCAGAGGGCTATTTTTTCAGTGAATAACTTAAATTGCAAGTTGTTCAAAGATGTTTAAAATTGCAAAAATGCTCCAAAAATTGCAGTTAGTTTTGAGAAAAAGCTCAGTATTTTCTTGCAGATACCATTCGGTTTGATATTTTGTCATCTTAACAGTAACTGTTTTTAAACAGGTTTCCGGAGCTCTCCTCCCATCAGCCATTGGCTAGACAAACAGATAGTCCCGCCCCAAACTCACACTATTGGCTGAGCCAACGTCAACTTGTTGGGCCACTCAGACCAACAGAGTAATGTTACAAGCGTCACAGACTCACACCGTTTACACTCTTCGGGGGAATGAAAGTCTTACTTATAGCTGTCTCTGCACTTTACACTAGGATTGGAGAAAGTATTTTCACTTCGAAAAATTACACACAGCCACTTTAAGTGTCCACATACCTTTTGGGACCACTGTATATTCCCATTTAAACTTTTAAAACGTCAAGTCTTCATCCATAAAGCTCTCAAACTTTCAACACTGTCTGATCGTGTACGTTGCACAAGCCAGTCTCACAGCATAAAATCACAAATACAAATAAAACATGGGAGACAAATATAAACACAATTCTCTGGCCAAACAAACACACACATTCACGCACTCATACACAGTCCTTCAGTTTGTCATAGTGTCAGTGGTGGAATGTCTGCTATCCTTATGTTCACATATAGGTCAAATGTTACTATTAAACATAAAGCACTTTAAAAGCAACATGATCAATAACCTTCTTTAATGCGATTGACTTGAATGGAAGAGATGTTATTTAATTCTAAGTTAACAAAAGCTTGTGTAAATATTTTGCGCGTGTATAATGACTGAATGTTTGTAGTTATGTGTCAGTGCTATGTATTTTAATATGATTTAGCTGTTTCAATAAACAAATGCAAATGGTTATTGTTTTGTTTGTTAGTGTGATGTGGGCATCTGTAATAATATGCAAACACATAGTATATGCGCAGATCATTACCAGTGTGACCTGAGTCAGAGCGACACCAGTGGTATTATCAATAGCTCAGCATGACCCAAAAACAATGTGGTAAAATCAATGTAACACATGGACTCGGCTGGCTTACTGCTTTCATAAAATCAGCAGAAATATGATAAAATGCACCAATTTGTAATAAATAGTTACGCTGCCATTCACTGCCAAAAGTGTTTTTAATGTTTGTGAAAGAAGTCTCTTCTACTCACCATGCTGCATTTATTTGAGCAAATATAAAATAAAAACAAATATTATTACATATGGTTTGAATATATTTTAAAATGTCATTTATTCCTGTGATGCAAAGCTTTATTTGAGCAAATATAAAATAAAAAGAAATATTATTACATATGGTTTGAATATATTTTAAAATGTCATTTATTCCTGTGATCAAAGCTGAATTTTCAGCATCATTACTCCAGTCTTCAGTGTCACATGATCCTTCAGAAATCATTCTAATATGCTGATTTGCTGCTCAAGCAACATTACCTATTATTCTCAATGCTGAAAAGAATTGTGCTGTGATACTTAACATTTTTGTGGAACCCATGATACTTTTTTTTCCAGGATTCTTTGATGAATAACAAAAACAGCATTTATTTTAAATATAAATCATTTGTAAGATTATAAATGTATTTACTGTCACTTTTGATCAAATTAATGCATCTTTGCTAAATAAAAGTATTATTAGTAGGCAATCTGGGTATTGTTGCCTATTGTTACTGTACTAATACTGAATTTCAGACATAGCCTACTATTAATTTGACATATAGTGCTTTTTACTTACTGGACGCAAGGCTTATAAAAGACATTATTTAGTCACATGTCTCTCTCTTACCTCAATGGAAACCCCTTCTTACAACATTCTCCTGATGTGACATCCAATCAGGAGAGTTTTAGGTTAGACTGCCACCTGCTGGCTGCAGACCTGAAACATTACACAAAAAGTTACACAAAAAATATGAATACATTATGTATGCTATATAATACATTGGATTGCTTGTGTCAACTTTTGCTGCCGAGTTATTCTCAATTAAACATCTACTATAATATAATGAAAAATTGCAGTTTGAATATTTTGAATGGCCGCTAATAGAAAAAGATGGTGTAGTTTATATAGTATCCATTTAATTTAAGAGCCCGGTTTTATTTTCATCTCTATAAACTGCATAAACAAACATGTCAACAAAAATAAAAATCCTGCCAAAGATGAGGAAACAAAGGAATGTTGTAGATGTCAGAATGAGTGTTTCACTAGTTGTTTTTAACTTTCCACTGTGAATTCATCACATGTGCTCTAGACCACTACACTCAAACTATCAGCCAATTAAAATTAGGGGTGTATCCTACTGTACACAAAAGCACACACACACTAGACTTTACATCAACTCTGCCTAGAAACAAACATACAGACTATCTTTACAATTCCCCAAAATGTGCTGTTGTGCTTCTCTGCACCAGAGACTGACAGACAGCTCACTATTTACAAAGTCAAATTCATAGAATCACTGTTATCACGATACCAATCTGAAGGTTCTGAACGTTCTGGTGAAGCACAAATAAAACAGTTTAGAGATGATTTACAAATAAGACTCTTAAAACACAAGCATTGAAGCCATTGTAAAATGATAATAAAAAAAAAACTGATTGTAATCAGTAAAATCAAAAATAATCATAATCTTTAGGGAAGATAATTAGCTAAACATATTTTACTTTGATTTATTGTGTTGATTGATACGAAAAAATACAATTAAAATTAAGATAGAACCTAAAACTTACAAAAAAGAAGAAGAAAACAAATAGTGAAAACCACATTAAAACAAATATTTTAATATAATGGTGTATAGTAATGAAGTAACTCACTCACACTCTAAATTACTATTAAACCAAAATCCCTTAGTCACTGTATTGACAGTGTGTCCTTTCTGAACCAGCCTGTATTTGAGCCAAGATATCCCAGTATTGAGCACTCAAACACGCAAACACACACCTTTACACACACTGACGGGACCCCTGGAAGCTTCAGAGAGAAAGCAAAGTGGAGAAAGTTAAAGTGTTACTAGTTTTTCCCACTACAGTTCAGAGACACAATCCATGCAGCATTGATAAATAGAGCGGTCAGAGACCCCAAACACACAACATCCTCCTTCATCCTCAACAACACAACCTCAGCTGAATCATGAGGGTGGTGAACCTGGTATGTACCGGACATTCAGACTATTATTTACATACATGCTTCATAATTTCCTCAACGGTGTGTAAAGGAGAATTGTAGGAATTACACATGAGTAATCATTTAGCAATGCGGAAAACTGTCAATCAGACTGTGTCACTGTTTGTTGAGTTGGTAGACTAAGTCTAATTAGTTGCATCTAATAATACACACAAACTCTATCTACTAGGGTCCGGATCCCTCTCTGGCATATCGCCCCGATAGTCATGAGAAAGACAAATCAGAATTCAGGAACTTTGAGGTAAAACGTGGAATTATGCATATTCTTAATTCATATTTTCTTGTATCATTCCTTTTAATACAACCCTCTTATTTCCATTTTGATGTGTGTACAGAGTGGAGCTCTCTTTGACCGTGTGTTTAATACATACAAGCTGATGCACACATACCAAACGCTGGACTTTGTCAAACAGAAGGTTGGTCTATCAATACCGTAAATCAAACTGTACATAAACAGAAGCATATTTATATATACATATTTAACATAACTATAAAAATAAATGCTGCAATAATATTATATATGTATGCATGTATGTATGTATGTATATTTATTACGGACGTCTTAAAATTATGCTCCGTATCAAAAAAGCAGGTAAAAATAAAATAAAATATCTCCATTCAGGTAATAGGTCTGTGCTAACAACTGTTAAAATATAAATGGCAAAATTCTGAATTTCTATTATTACTAAAGGAAATGCATAAATTCTGACCACTTTCTCTGTAATTCATCTGCTCTGTGATGACCCAAATAAATGACAGCCTTTACAAACACAAAAACACTGAACATGACCTCTCACCTCTGACCTT